CTGTTTTTCAATCTGTTTCATAAAATAATTTAAAGAAAGAATGTGTGACATGTTCCACATCAATAAATCATAAAGTCTGTCCTGTGTAAATGTGTCTCTGAGTCCTGACTGTCTACAATGAGGGAGAAGCTCGAGTCCCGCTGGCTGTGTTGTTGTCAGAGCCGTGTTTACATGGACGGGACGGCTGGCTACTCCCCTTGTGTATAAAAGCTGTTTTAGTCAAGAACTAGAGAGAAGAAGAAGAACATACTCACTGATTATTTGGATGTTAGTAAGAGTTTTTAGATCACGCTCATTCTGTGTCAGTTTACATGAAATGTGAAGCTACGAGCTAACTAAAGAGCGCTAACATTAGCATGCTAACACAACAATGTGAAGCTACGAGCTGACTAAAGAGCGCTAACATTAGCATGCTAACACAACATTGCACACAGGGGATATCAGCCCGAGCAGAGTACAATTTTGGGGATGGTTCTCAGGAGGAGAGCGGAGGCTTCAGTATGGAGGAGGCGTGGCCAAACAGCAGTTTGTTTTGGTTTCATGCTGGAGCTCAGGGGCGACATCTACTGGATCAAAAAAGTCGCACATTCTTCATTTAAGTTTTCGTTCTTTATCTTTTGTGTTTTGTGTCTGACTCAGATTTAAACATTTTGTTGGATATGAAAGTTCTCACTTGGAGTTGATGGTGACTCATATCTTCAAGAAACGATCAAAAAATCAGCTCCACACAGTCAACACGAAGACAATTAACGGAGCGTTTTGATGGCTCAAGTCATTTGTTCTCAAATCTGTCGTGATATTTATGACTCTAAAATCGATCTTTCTGCTGCTTCATTCCAACAAAATGTTCATCGTTTTGGTGCGGAAGTGGAAGTGACACCTCGTGTTGCTCTTCCTCACCCTGTTGGAAGTCTGCTTTCTGTTTTTCATTTCCAGCTCTGACATCTTCTTTTTTCTTTCCCCAACGCCAGCGAGACGCCGGACACTGACGGGTAAGTAACACACAGATTTAACATTTCCTGTAGCCCCTCCCCCCTCCCCCCTCCTGTGTGTTCGTGCAGGCTCCTGCCAGTGTGCAGCTCAACAGTTATTTGGCTCTGAGTCGGGTGCAGAAACGACAAAGGGCGGATTATTTGACTCCGAGCCGCTAAGACGGTTTCTAACAGAGCAGAAATGACCTGCAGCAAAACACTCGATCGCTGAGAACCAGACGATGTTCTCCCGCTCGTTAAAGTTTACATGAGGCCTCGTCGTGCCGATTGCTTCTGCAAAAGTTTGTCACAGCGCTCGCTCTCCCCTCTTGTTATCAGAGGAGGCAGGTGAGCAATGAGACAGGAAGACGTGTGGATACAGTAATTGTCGAGCTGCTCCCCCCCTCTGGTTAATTTGCGTTCCCCTGCGGTGTCTGGCGCTGTCACGGCCAATAACACGGAGACGAGGACTCAGCGGGAGCTCGTCCTTCTAATCTCATGAAGGATTCACAACTCCCCCCCCCTGCTTTTTGTCTGCCAGGCTCACGAGACGAGACGAGGGAAAACCACCTCAGAGTCTCATAACGTGTCTGAATGTAGGATTATTTATCTAAACCCAACAACATGTCTCTACTGGATTCACACTTTTACCCTGAAGTTACTCTCACCCAAAGGAACAGGATGTGCCTTCTCGATTTCTCTAGAGAGAATTAATTTGACTGAAGTCTGAACTGCTTCACAGACGTTTGTCAGTCAGGAATAAATTAAAAAAGAGTGATTGATTTGAAGCTTGTATTTGTCTTCTGTCTCTGTGTAGTTGTTTTTCTCTGCAGCGTAGGCAAAGTGGGCTAGTATCCAGGACCTCAACCAATGGGAGACTTGGCCGACTTTTAGCCGACTTGATTTTTTGTGGTTTCTCAGCTGTTCATTCATGCTAACTGGAACTACAACCTTTTTTTTTGTCTGACTGGTATAGACTCCCGCTGTGAGGTGCATGTGCAAACAGCCAGGTCAGGAGAATCTCCGGATCACTCCTCCTGAAATGATCTAGATATTTTCAGGAGTACAGATGTGAAAACGGCTCGTGTTGATGAAAAGAAGTCGATGCTGGAGGTTTGGAAAACCAGCTAAAGAGAGAGAGCTGCTCTGAGTCTGTACATCACATATAGACATCTTTGAAGCCACAGTTTAACGCATTAAACGACTAAAAGCTAAAGACTAACGCTGTGTTTGTTTGTGTTCAGGCGTGTGGTTGATCTGCGTCAGATAAATAGTTGAAGGCACATTCCTCTCTTTGAAAAGTTAAAAAGACTTTTATTAGATGTGAGCTGCACCCACATGCCTCCACAGCCCGCCTCCATGAGAGCAAACATCAGAACAAAGAGCAGCTCCACTTAGATGCTGGGTGATGACACGGTTTGCAACAGGTGTGCTGTTTATATATTCAGCATCGGGACGAGGCCGCAGACGAACACGGCTGGCTTGCATGGGGCGTTCAGTGCATTCACGATCCTTTAAAGAGGAGGCATGGTTTGTGTTCACAGACATGCTCAGGTCCTCTGCAGACGGAGAGTTTGGAACAAAGTGATGCAGCCTCTGAAACCTAATGAAGAGGAGCTTTTTGTTTGGCAGGCACTTCTAACAAAGGAGGCAAAACTTGCATTATTGTTATTCCAATCAGAGGCTCATCTCTGCAAATCAGCTCATTGTTCTGCCGATTGCACGAGCTGTGCAGAATATTTAAGATGTTTTGAGGCCTTTTATTTCCTTTAAAGGGGACATATTCGGAAAAATCCACTTCTTCAGTGTTTCTGAACATATATTTGGGTAACCTGAGTGTCTACTGACCCACAACATGTGAAATAAACCCATCCAGTCCTTTGTTTGTGGTCTGCTTAAGTCTTATAACACAGAGAAAAATGCTGTGTTTCAAATGTGCTCTCCTTGTGATGTCACAGTGGGATTCTGGTAAAAAAAAAATCCCCTCCCCTTCCCTGGTATCTCAACCCATGGACTCCACCTCCAACCTAGAACAAAACTTTTGCGCAGGCCATTTTTATTCTCACTACAGAGGAGTTATGTCTACGGGGAAAACTCGGGGGGGGGGGCTCATTGCATTTAAAGAGACACACACACCAAAACGGAGCGTTCTGAGAGAGCTGGTTTATACAGGGTCACAAACCTCCTCTGGTGCTTGATTCATGTTATATTTTGACCAAAGCACAGCACAGATGTTTCATTTAGACCACAAGGGACTGTTTGAAAAGGTGGAAAAGGGGGATAATATGTCCTCTTTAAAGGAAGAACTAAACTCGGGCTGTCCTCATTTCAAGTTGAGAATCCAAACCCCCATTAATCTGGAGTCATTCAGAGTTATTAATATTTTCATTATTTGTGACACTGACAAATTAGACCCTTTGTGTTGAATATCGCCAAAGTAAATGGAGCTGTAGATGAGATTTTCACCGGCCGAGAGCACAGAGCATGCTTCTCTCTGCAGAGCGGTCGGGTATAGATTAGAAAATCAATACAGGTGGGCTGAAGAATGAGAGCCATCAAACTCACAGATTATATCTCCCTTTATAGGCTCGGAGGAATCACGGTGCACTACTCTCTGCTCTTTGAGAACAACATCCCTAAAATCAACGCGGCTGAGACGGTGACCGACTCGCCCGACTCCCCGGGCAGCTCGGGCTTCAGAGAGATGGTCAGCAAGGCCTTACGTGAGGACGCCTCGCTGCCAATCGACCTGGACTCACTTAGCTTTGAAAGAGGTACAGTGTTTGAGGCACAGCCCGGCCATTTGTTATGCCAAACTGGTGGAAACGTTTTTAATAGTTTATTTAACCGACTTGTAAAATCTCATTGCGCTCCTTTATTTACAGATGATACTCTCCTTCCAGCGCTGACGTCAACCTCTTCAGTTAATCTAACAGAAGAGGTAAGAGCCACTGTTCCTGTATTAAGGATATTCTGTGAGTTTGTATTTTTAAAAGTAATACCCCTGGACTAAAAGATATATAATCACATTTTTAAATATAAATTAAGTTGATCTCGAGAAATTCCCTTAAAGGCAGGGTTTGGTAATTTCTTCCAGAAATTAATAACTCATGTTCTCTGAAAAAGGAACAAAGAAAATCGTCATCTGTATCAGTTGTAAGCCTATAAAAACTTTGACCAATGTCTGCCACGAGGTACCAATCTGATGAACCAATCAGACGCCTCCCTGTCTCCCTGCTTGCTCTAGCCCACTCCGTGCAGATGGAGCACTGAGGGAATGCTACTTTCAAAATCATGCTAGTTTTTTCGAAAATTACCAACCCTGCCTTTAATTAAAATACTGGGGAAATGAAGAATGACTGATCTCCACACTGAGAAAAAAAACTCCAATATGAACAAATGTTTTGGAACACTGTGTTCTGCACTGGTGATGAAAACCTTTTTTTTTATTGCATTAATCATGTCATGAATCCGTCTCTTCTCAGTCAAATGAGCCGGAGTCAAACAACGAGTTTGAAGTTTCTCCTGAAGAGCCAGACGCTGATAAACCCAAGGAGGAGGAGGAAAATGCCCTCATGACCTTGTCAGACCCTGCATCTCTGCAGAATCCTGAGATGATGGCGGTGACTGTGGGGATGGCAGAGAGCAGCAATCCTCCCCCGGCCTCCGAGGATATTACCGATGAGTCAGAGGCAATTTATGTGAGTGAGCCCGAGCCATCAAACAAAGACAACGGGGAGGAAGAGGAATTGCTGATCATTACACATGAGATTGAAACCATTCATCACGATAAAACCGGTGAACTTGTGAGACACTACATCCCGACTCCTCCCGGGACTCTGGAGCTGGAGACTGAGGCTCCGCACATCAGTTTGTCCCCTAACCTAATATCAGAAGAGGACCTGACACCTGTTGATGAGGACGGCGAGGATCTTAGTCTGAATGTTGTTGCAACAACCACAAAAGATTTATTGACTACTGCTGCAGAGGATTCTGACATGGGACTCACCATCACAACACTTCCAGAAATCACAGGACAGCCATCCACCGAGCAGATAGTGGATCTCGAAGAGGACAAAGAAGTGACAGGAGGAAATATAGAAGTGTCAGAACCTGAAGAAGAGAAGGATGACATTTCAAAACCGGTAGAGGACATAGCCGAGGAGGAGGAAGTACCTGTAGTTTCACAGACGGAGGAAGAAGTCGGGGCAGATTCAGAACCAGAAGAAGAAGAGGTTGAGGAAGAAGAAGTAGCCAAGGTTTTAGAACCAGAGGAGGAAGAAGTAGCCGAGGTCTTAGAACCAGAGGAAAAAGAAGAAGTAGCTGAGGTTTCAGAAATAGAGGAGGAAGAAGTAGCCGAGGTTTTAGAACCAGAGGAAGAAGATGAAGTAGCCGAGGTTTCAGAAATAGAGGAGGAAGAAGTAGCCGAGGTTTTAGAACCAGAGGAAGAAGAAGTAGCCAAGGTTTCAGAACCAGAGAAGGAAGAAGTAGCCGAGGTTTCAGAACCAGAAGAAGTAGCCAAGGTTTCAGAACCAGAATTAGAAGAAGTATCTGAGGTTTCAGAACCAGAGGAGGAAGAAGTAGCCGAGGTCTCAGAACCAGAGGAGGAAGAAGTAGCCGAGGTTTCAGAACCAGAGGAGGAAAAAGTAGCTGAGGTTTCAGAACCAGAAGAAGAAGAAGTAGCCGAGGTTTCAGAACCAGAGAAGGAAGAAGTAGCCGAGGTTTCAGAGCCAGAGAAAGAAGAAGAAGAAGTAGCTGAGGACTTAGAGCCAGAGGAGGACATAGCTGAAGAGGAAGAAGAACCTGAAGTTTCACAAATAGATGAAGGTGAAAATTCAGAGCCAGAAGTAGCTGAAGAGGAAGCAGAACCAGAGGTTTCGGAGACAAAGGAAGATGAAGATTTAGAAGAAGAAGAAGAAGAAGAAGAAGAAGAAGAAGCAGCTGAGGTAGAAGAGGTAGGTGAAATTTTTGAACCAGAGGAAGAAGTTGCTGAAGAGGAAGAAGTAGAAGTTTTAGAGCCAATAGAAGAAGAGGTAGGAGAAATTCCAGAACCTGAGGTGTCAGAGCCGGAAGAAGAGTTGGAGGTAGTTTCAGAACTAGAAGAAATCGAGGAGAGCGAGTTAGATAAGGTCTCAGAGACAGAAGTACCAGAGGTAGAACCAGCTGAAGTTCTGCAGCCAGTAAAGGAAACAGTTGAAGATACAGAAGAAGAAGAAGTCGTAGATGAGGTGTCACCTGCAGGTCCAGAACCTGAGATAGAGGATAAAGCTTCAGAACAAGCTCCAGAAGCAGAAGAAGAGTCTGACGTTGGTGGGGATATAGATGAGGTTCCAGTTCAAGAAGTAGAGGTAGTTGATCAAGCAGAACCAGAAGAAACTACACAAGAACCTTCTCAGGAAGAAGCACCTGAAGGCACCAAGGAAGCAGTACCTGACACTTCTGAACTTGAACCAGAGGCAGATAAAGAGGAACCTGTAGATGTGGCTGAACCTGTAGAAAAAGAAGAGGAAGGTGACGTCGTAGAACCAGAGGTCGAGGTTGAAGAATCACAGGGGGGCGTAGTTGAGGTATTTGAACCAACACCTGAACCTGAATCCACTCCAGAACAGGAAGAGCATGTCCCTGAAGTTACGGAGATAGGTGAGGAGATAGCTGAGATTGTAGAAGTGGTGGAAGATGCAGAAAAGGTTTCAGAAACTAGTGAAGAAGATGTAGAGGTCACTGAAATGGTACCAGCGCCAGGGGAAGAAGAAGAAGAAGAACCGGATGTAGCACCTCCAGGGGAGGATGAAGTCGGGGTTGTAACGCTGCTTCCAGAGGAAAATCCAACAGATGCTGTAGTTGTCTTTGAGGAAGAACAAGAGATCCTGGAGGAAGAAACAGAACCAGGGGAGGACATTGATAATGTGGTGCTACCAGAAGACTTACCGGGGGTTTCAGAGCAGCAAGAACCAGAAGAGGAACTTGTAGGTGAAGCCACAGAACCAAGTCCAAAGGAGGCTGTAGTTGAACTGTTAGAACTGGAACCCGAGGTAGATATTACTGAGCCGCCAGCTCAGTCAATTACAATCCTTCAACCCCTGGACAGCGAGGAAGATCTTCACCTTGGAGAAGATACCGTTCAGGTTGATGAAGAGTTTGAGTTCCTTCCTCCAGCCACACCTGGCAGCCCCCATGAGGAGGATAACTTAACCATCGTACCTGTGGACATCCAACCTCCTGAAGGGGACGCAGCTGGACTTGACCACGAGTATACCATCGTCAACTACACTGAGGAGGATGTTGACAGTGAAGACACACAAGTGGAGGGCGATTCTGGACCAACCCCGGAAACATCGGAGGGTGATCAAGGGCTTGAAGAGACTTCAGGTGAGGAAAAGGCTTCTGTTGCCATTGAGAGCGAGGCGTAATATCTGAGGGAAGGGCAGTGAGTTCTGTTGATAGATTTGTGCTCTGACATCACAGAAGATATTTCCATGTTTAGATAGGAACTTTACCCTTGGGAAGGTTCCCTCAGGGAAATTCAGATGTCTGCATGCCTGCTGCGGTTATCTCCCTTTTGATTAGTTTGAAAAGCTGAACAATACAAACACTTCACTGAGTACTTCATTTATCCCAGTATGTTCTGTACAGAAGTAACAATACACCCGACTAACGAGTATCACGATACTGGGTTCAAGATTTTAACAGTGTCAGTAGTTAACCATCGAGTGAGGACTATGGTTATAAACTAAGCTGTTTTGTGAACTTCTGAGCTCGTCTAGAAGCGGAAGTTTTGGCTGTTTGTAAGTTTCATTCGGTGTTGGCTGAGGCGCCACAAACTGGTCCTGTGAAGCAAGTAGCGGCTTATCAGGATGGCGTCTCGTCATGTGTAGATGTGTTTTAACGTGTTCTTGAATAAGATTCCATGACTTTTGTTCCTTTCCCCAACATCCTGGTGTTTGCAAAAAATCCCAAATGCTCCCTTATCTTTGTTTTAACTTTTGCTGAAGGTGGATAAAAACATTTTCATGCATGCTTGTTTGCTTTGATTTGAATCAAGCACTGCAGTGTACCGTTGTGTTACTCGAAATCAGTCCAGGTCTTGCTAGGTTTCAGTCTCACTTGGAATCAAAAGCATTTTTTGTTGGTCTTGTCTCAGTCTCAGACTGGGCGGACTCTGGATTTTAAAATCAAGACCACCACTGATTGGCTATTTTTCTCAAGTCATTAATGTGATTAGAAGGAAAACGCCTCTTTCCTAAAGAACAAATAACTTCAATTTTTATCCCCCGGTTACGTCTGCAACCTTTCCAGTGTTACAGTCTAAGTGAGAGATCCGCCCCCTGCACACAAGATGAAGATTTTTCAGTGATATTTATGGTCTTGGTCTTGTCTCGGTCTTGCCCTGCCTTGGTCTTGGTCTTATCTCGGTCTTGATTCCTAAATGTCTTTGTGTTGTCTCGGTTTTGGAGCCCGCTGGTCTCTGGTTTTTCTTGGTCTCGGTTAGTGTGGTCTTGATTAAAACACTACTGCAGTGCATCATGTAGTTTGGCTTCCACTGCATCATATTGGTTTTATTGTAAACTGTTCCATCAGCAATGTGTCTTTCAGCACTGCCATCACAACTTTGCCGCCATATTGAATTCTGTCAAATCTGCATTGATGCACATTTTTGTACATGACGGCATATTGCCATATTGATTTTTTCAGCACGGCTATATGTGTAGTTTATTAATCTCTTGCAGTATTTGCACACTGTTGTTGTCTTGACATGTGTTGCCACCATGTCTGCAAACAAGAGAAGACAAAATCATATGGCGCCCTCTGCTAGTTAAATGAGAGTATTGCAATAACTCTTTTTTTCTCATTAATCTAAGTTGTCCATATTTGTATTGATTTGTAATTGTGTTGAAAGGTATCATTACATCCCAAATACCTCTCCTCAACATCAGGCTGGATTCAGGATCATGTCTAACAATGGAGGATTATTTTAAATGGCAAGGTGCTGATTTAAACTCAAATTCAGCTTGAAGCAGTTAGAATGTATTTTGCATGATTCTCTCAGCACGCACGTCTCTGTCGCTTTATGTGAAAATCCTGAGAACTCATGTCTAAAGTCATCTTTTCTGCCTGACATTTCATAGAGGGGACCGCTCCAGACGAGCCGGAGACATCAGAGGACGCCGAAGTCCCAGAGGAGGTGCCGGAGGAGACAGAAGAAAGCGATTCATCTCCAGAAACAGACAGCAGTGTAACAGACATTTTCACCACTCCTCCGACAACTTCTGTCGACGCGGCTGCGCCCATCCCGACTATAGACTCTGGACTTTTTGAGGTAGCAGACCACGCTGTGATCCCTGACACTTCTGAGGATGACATCAAAGAGGTGGAGGCAGAGCCGGGTCACAGCGAGCCGGCCGTCGTCATTATTGATGAAGAGTTGGAAAAGAAAGAACTTGAAAGCCAAACCAGTCCGCCAGCGGCTCCTGAAGATACCGTTGACGAGGCCGTGAGGGACTTAGCGGAGGAGCTGGATAAAATGGACATTCCAACGACTGACGCAAACCAGCTGCTGGAGGAAGGGAGCAGCTTTTTACCTGTGGAGGAGGAGCTCAGCACTGTCAGCGTCACAGCCCCTCCCCCGATTAAATACCTTACCACACCGTCCATGACCACGGCACCTCAGGGCAAAGAGCTGGTGGTGTTCTTCAGCCTGCGCGTCACCAACATGGACTTCTCTGAGGACCTGTTCAACAAGACGTCGCCGGAGTACAGAGCCCTGGAGAACCAATTCTTACACCTGGTGAGTAAAATAAACTGAAAACATGTAGCAACATTTAAATACCCATGAAAACAGCTTCTGATGAATCTGTTTTTATAGTTCAAATTGAACAGATTTAAGCATTCAAGCAGTCTGATTCCCAATTTCCACATACTCCTGTTTTCACTTGAGAAAAGTAATTTTATATGATAAGGTCCTTTTACTTTCTGCGCAAATTAATTTTTTATTTTAAATGTATTTGAATCCTTGGGACTCAAGTAATACGTAGAATTATAAGCAGCTCATTTCAAACTACAACAGCCAACAAACCTCACACTGAAAATACTCACAGACTCGTCCTGTGACCAGTTTATAGTTGATAATAATAAACAGGGCGAAGGGACGAGCGGATGCGCAGACATCGATGCGCACGTTGGATCTGTTCGGACAGCATCAGTTTGTTAACAGATTTATCGTGTTTTTTTGTTTATTTGGCCAAAACAGCCATTGATCCCTTAACCTTGTCAAAATCACAGACAGTTACACCTCAATTGAGCACTCATGACGTGTACAAAATGTCCCTACATGACCTGACCACGAGCTCACCTCTCGCTCTCTCTTTAAAAGAAAAGATTTTTAAAATATTTCAGTTGTCACGACCTTTCACATTTTCTTTGTTGTTTTGGCATCCAGAATGAAACGTTTTAGTTTTTATTCCTCTGGCCTGGTGTTAGCTTTGAACAGATGCAGTATGTTTTCAACTGATCTACCTTCCAATCCGTCCACACCACCATCTGTTCACTGCCCCACTCTGTATGGTTCCTTATATCTGTGGAAGGCCGAAAGGGAATATGTTCAAACTCTGCACGGTTAAAGTTCTGGCACTGATTAAAAGTTGTACTGATTTTTAATTTATGGAAGACAAGCGTTAGATCATTGGTTTCCAACCTGGAGTCCAGGCGCCCTTAGAACGGGGCACCAGAGGATCAGTTGGTGTGCAAGTCTTTTTCTGGTGGGATGCTGTCGAACCTTCATTTGCAAAAAAAGGGGGGGGAAGGGGTAGTATTACGCATTAGAGGTCTGCAACCCCTACAGAACAAGTCCTGACCTCAGGCTAGGGCTGGGTAGGGCTTCAAGCCGGACTCCATGCTCTTAAGTATATACTCCTTACTGAAGCAATGACCCAAGTGTAGGTCATGGAGCGGGAGTAACACAAAAAGGCCCAAAACACAACTTCACTTCTCCCTCCATTAAAGTTCTGGTCTGGGATCTCTCGTGCTTAATGTCGGCCTCGCTAAACCTTTTTATTTTACGGTTTAACGAGTATTGACGGTTAGTTAAAGGTCAGCTCCATTTTGTTGCCGTGGAAACTATTTTATTAACCTTTTGAAGGCACCGCAGAAGGCAACTTTTAACCGACAGGTACTCAATGATTTTATCACACCAGCTCCCATAAAAGGTCTCCCATCTGGTGGGTAAATTAAAAAAAAGACCTTGGGTGTTTATCTGGCTCTCAAGCTGACACGCTCTCTGATTTAAGATCCCTTCTACAAACAGAGACTCCTCAAACATTGATAAACTATTGTGACCTTTGAAGTTTTACTCAAAGAAGTTAACTTCCTGACAATTTAGACGATTAAGAAGATTCATTTGGTCGTGTGTGAGCGTTTTCTTTGTGTTTCATTACGACCAAAGAGGTAGAAACAGAAACTCAGAGATCATTTGCTCTTTTGTTTTCATTCAGAAAGATTTCCCCTTAAAGCCCTCAGAGTCCGACCCGCAGCTTGCTGGGTATGAATGGAAACGTGTGTATGTTGTGGATGAATAGAGGAAGTTGAGGAATAATGAAGCTCAGGCAGGTCAGGTGCCTTAAAGCCGTCATTTTTACTACAAAGAAAGATGGGGCTAAATAAACGAGGCGGGGAGAACAATGAAGTGACAATAATTATTTTCCTCTCTAAAGTTGAGAGGTTTGTCTTCACATGGAGAGCATTATTTAAACACTTTTTATTGATACATTTCTCATCCTGGATCAATGCTCAAACAGCTATAATTCATCAGTAAAACATTTGCATTTGGACGATCCCAGTGGCCATTATTAGGAAGCTGCAGCTCCAACAGGAAACCCCCCAGGTGTGAATTATTAACCTGCACACAAAGATCCTGCTCGGTCAGCATCCCCTACCCCTGATAACCCCCAAACCCGCCCGTCCAAAAAAATAAAATCAATGCTGTTTGTATTCCTCTGAGCTCCAGAAACACGTTTTGAACATGATTATAGCGCTGCATAAAAATAAGACTAAATAAAATCAATCAGAACACATTTGTTCTCTTGTAACTTTGATGAATCGACCAATTATCCTACATTCAGGCGAACGCTTTGCTTAAGATGTTGAGAGTGAACAAATAGCTCTAAAGGCGTACGCTGCTCGATATCAGGATGATTCTGATACTAATCAACGCCCTTTAAAGGTCACATATCCTCCTCCTCTTCTTCAGTGTAAATAAGTCTCAGAGCTCCTCAAAACATGTCTGTGAAGTTTCTTGTTCTAAATCCACTCTGATCCTGTATTTGATCATGTCTACAAACCCCTCTATTTCAGCCAGGCTGTTTCTGTGTCTGTAACTTTAAATATGTAAATGAGCTGTGTCTGACCACGCCCCCTCTTTGGAAGGGCTTGGGTGTACTCAGTGCTTTCTCGCTCCAAGTCCTATTGTTTACGGTGAGAAGGCAGACTCAGAGGGCAGAACAAACACCTAGCTGTGGGAGTGTCACCCACCTGGGGGAGGGGCTACTGCCCTTTGTGATGTCATGAACGGAAAATCTCTGAACGGCCTGTTTGAGCACACATTTTCTGAAAAGTAGAGCAGGTAAAGTAAAGTTTGTCAGCCCCTGAGGGCCCTCTTTAAATGACGATAACAGACTACCGCCCCCTGATGGCATGCAGAGTTATTTCCTCTCAATCATGAGCAGAACGTACGTGGTGGTTGGTCATTGGCTCTAGTCTTTGCGGTGTGTTCAAGTGCAACTTGACGCCACAGTCGGTCTTCGTCGCCACTAGGTCTTTGCCGTCTGCTTGGGGTGTCAGGGACTTAAGGGAACTTTGAGAGGGAATCGAGATTCAGCCAATGAGCAGCGATTGGCTGAATACATGTTTTGTGAATCATTTAGCAAAGGCTTTAATGTAACAGACTTTCATTATCATGTGAAGAGCTGCCGATCTCCAGTTTAAATTATCATTAAACTCCAAGTGAATATCCACTCATCCACACCTTTTTATATGAACTCGTCTCTCGAGTGACTTTGGACAAATCAACAGAATGAACCTGAGAGAAAAACTCTTGATGAAGTTGAACAAAGTTTGGATTCGATGCAGTGCAGAGCTGGACAGAAGGAGCGTAAATGTGTTTATGTCCCTCCAGATGAATACTTTGATTTTGGTTTCAAACAGTCTTAATGCCTATTTACAGAGTACCCAGAGGAGTCATTTCTGAGTAAAAATAATAATTATACAAATCACTGATGATCAGAGAGAACATCTGCCAGATCGCAGTTTATGTTTAGAAACTACATTTCCCTGTGAGATGTATTTACAGCTTGATTCAACCCACAACTTTACATTAATGCGGGACTCTCATGTACAGAGGCTGTACATCGTGTTCGAATCCGACCTGTGGCTCATTTTCCACGTCATTCCCCACTCTCTCTCCCTGACATCTGACTCTGTCCACTTCCTGCCTCCCAAAAAAGCCCCAGAATAAATCTTTAAAGGTGACATATCCTCCTCTTCTTCTTCAGTTTAAATAAGTCTCAGAGCTCCTCAAAACATGTGTGTGAAGTTTCTTGTTCTAAATCCACTCTGATCCTGTATTTGATCATGTCTATAAACCCCTCTATTTCAGCCCTGCTCAGAACAGGCTGTTTCTGTGTCTGTACATTTAAATATGTAAATGACCTGTGTCTGACCACGCCCCCTCTCTGGAAAGGCTTGGGTGTACTCGGGCTTTCTCGCTCCATATCCTATTGTTTACGTTAAGAAGGCAGACTCAGAGGGCAGAACAAACACCTAGCTGTGGGAGTGTCACCCACCTGGGGGAGGGGCTACTGCCCTTTGTGATGTCATGAAGGGAAAATCTCCAAACAGGCTGTTTGAGCACACATTTTCTGAAAAGTAGAGCAGGCTAAAGATGGAGAGGATGAACTTTTCTCATCATTTGGGGGGTTTGTAGACAGACTAGAGACACATGTTAGAGTTAGAGAAACATGGTGAAATGGATTTTACAAAATATGTGACCTTTAAAAACAACTTTACATCAATGCATAAAGCACTACACTCTCTTCTTTGTCATCAGACAATTCTCTGTGACATGTTGTGCTGCTGGATGTTCTCTCATTAATTCATCTGTGTCTTAGATTGTAGGTAACTATAGAAACCATACTGATGCTGTATTGTTGGAATCACAGGTGAAGTTTAAACAAGCGTGGGTCAAACACTTGACAACATACTGAAAGAAGATTTAAACTTTTTCTTCTTTGTGTGGCCACTCTTTAAGCAGTGCAGTTACCTCGCACTCCATCATATTGTGTTACAACAGAAGAAAAAATACTTCTATATTACTCACATTACTGTTGTCTCAAGGTTGAACGTCGGGTTTTATGCTCATCGTTAAATACCCTATCGGAGAGTGAAAGGTAGTTGTGGCTCTGCACAGAAATTAACACAATAAAACAATAAGATATAACAAAGAATGAAATGGAACAAAGACAGGAAATCTTAAATTAAGTGGAGTTATTTGTACAATAACAGCGAGCAGCAGCATATTCAGAGACACACAATAGATGCAAAATATGTGCGTATTCTGCCAAACTACTTATTTATTATATTAAATTTGAAGATGTGTTCGATTGCTGTGTTTGTGGTGTCTGAAGAAATTTTGATGATTAGAGCCATAACAGTTTGTTCTTCCCAAGTGGCTACCTCTGGTGTCGAAAAATGTAGCTGATGCTGAAGTGTGCAAAATCCTGCAGTTCCTGGAGTGTCCACTAGAGGCTGGCTGCAGAAGCACAGGAAGTCACATACACACCCATTCTAAAAAGCCTGTTTTTACAGCAGAGATGAACATGTTTACAGCCTGGTTCAAAAAACCAAATAGGTGTGACTAGCTCATGTCTGGATGGACACACACTGTACGGGGGGTGAATGTTTTGATGACTCATCAGTTTTGATTTGATGAAGGATAAGAGTTATTCACAATAAGGCGTGTAGCTGACCTGATTGACAGGTGGGCGCGGTGTAACGGTTTGTCAGGAGGTTTAAAACCCGCCTCAGCTCCAGCTCTCAGCCTGTCGTTAGGTTGACTGAAAGTTAGACTGAGACAGCATTTCCAGCATGGAGACCGCCATCGATGGGACTCCAGCGCCCCCTGCAGGAACAGACGGGTGACGTCACTCAGGCTTCATCCATTAATATTTACAGTCTATCATTCTTCCTCACAACAGTGATCTATCGAGGGATAGCAGACCTTTTCTATACGTAATTGGCCAATCAGAATCAAGTATGCAACACAGCCTTAGTAATAACTCTTTATCCTTTGAAAAGAAGAACCAACTGTACTAGAAAGTTGCTCCGGCACCATTCTCCAGGTTAGGCTCAAAGTGTCAGCTGTTAGCTTAGCACTCAAAGGAGTTCACCTTCTGTGCTTCTTCATCTCCAAGCTTCTTGCGCTGAATATTTTTGCACCAGAGTTGCTTGTTTGATACTAAGAAATGTACCAACAACTCTTCTTATCGTTGAGATGAGCTGACCAAATCCAAAATGTCACTTTTCGACCAAAAAAGCATCTGCTCAGACTCTCACCAGTAAGATGTCTTGCTCATGGGCACGAAGATCACAAGAGGAGCTTAGAGAAGCTTTATAAACCGTACATTAATCTACAGATTCAAACCGGCCTCCTCTCACTCATCTGCTCTCTTGCTGTGTCCTCAGGCTGCTGATAATTGAAATATGAATGCAGACAGTGAAACACAGTGATTACCACATGAAAAGAATATACCGGCTCAGGCCTATATACTGCCACGTAAAATAAAAGCCTCTCAATCCTTTAGAGAGCCTCATTTTCTGAATAGATTTTTTACTATTCATCCACCAACGGTTTTGTTAACTGCATCAATAGAAGTAATTATGTACGGCCATATGGGAGTTAGAGAAACAAAACTGTTGAGTGTTCAGATATTTGGAGTTTTAATTGTGCGCTGTGCAGAAATGTAGCAACCTCGGAGGCCTTTTTGAAGAGACTGTAAATGAGTCAAACTTGATTTAGAAAGTCTCATTTGTTGACGTGGTGTTTACTCTGAGTTTAGGACTCTCTAAAAAGAACTAATCTTGATGACAGAAGAAATAAGCAGAGGGAGCTGATGACTAAAACAAACTGAGGCGTCGTTAGTCATCTCGGCGAGCAGTGTGCCGCTTTACTGCATCTCTCCAGTAAACAACATAATCACATCAGTGGCAGTCGCTGCCAGTACCACTTATGAATGTATTTATCATTTGAAGACGCACGTACACACTGCAGGTACAAAATAAATGTCCTGTTCCTGTTTTACAAACACCTGTAAACAGTAGGAAAAAAGTAAACAGCCCTGATGGATTTGAATCTATCAAGGTTTAAATCCCCAATAATTTGAAGCTTTGTCAGAGTTTTACATCCGGCTGAACCCTCGAAGTCTTGACAAACTGAGGGTATGAAAGCAAATAAGGCCGTGGGATATAAAAACATGGATGTAATCTCAGTGACGCAAGCATTCGTTTCTGAAGAGGCAATGAAAAGAAATCAACCCCCCCGTGAAGTCGTTACCAATAAAGAGACCAAAAACAGATTTTTAAACCAGGCCTTGAACATGTTTATGTTTACAACCAGGGCCTGAAGGAGCTTCCAAGGCCTTTGCAGCCAGCCTCAAGTGGACAGTTGAGGAACTACAGCTTTTTTACACACACTGCACTGAATATGACATGGACGTTGTGGACGAGGCAAATTTTTGAAGCACAATGATGGCGGTCACGATTGGAAATACTACCTCAAACTAACTTTCAGGCCAACCTAGCGCCAGTCAGAAGGGGACCTGAGGCGGGACATACGTTTCCTGACAAACAGACTTAAACTTTAAACACTGAAGGCTGCAGCTTGATTATGACACAGATCCTTATACGATACAATACAATATAATACGATACACTTTATTGGCCCATTAGGGAGAACTCTTTGTTCTGTAGCAGGTCAGGCTTGGTTTGGAGGGAAAGAGGGATAGGCATGAGTGCAGGCCTTTATAATGTTGGGGGTGTGGCTTGAACAGGTGTGGCAAGGAAGTCAGGTATGGTGATGCAGATTAGGTGGAGACTTGTGATTTAACAATAAAAGTAAGTGTCTTTATTTTGTAGCAACTTCCATGTAATGATTCAGATACATCTCTGTACATAACTGGATAATTAACCATTTTAGGTTAAAAAAATATATATAACATGAAACAAATATGACGAAATATATAGAAGGGCGCGTTTTTATAGAAAATAAAAACGGGCCAAGAATGCTTCCTTGTGGGACACCATTTTAAGAACGAGTGCAATCTTGGAACCAATCATCAACAATTCATCCTCCTTTGGGAACAACCAATCTTTTGCATCTTCTGATACTTCCGCTGAACTGAGAATAGTTATTTGGGTGAAGACCAAGCTGCAACCTCCAGCGTTAAAAAAAGGAAGCTAATGCTGAAGTAAAAATACTGCAGTTCATGGAGTGTCTACTCGAGGCTGGCTGCAAAGGGACCACTAATCCCCATTTGGTCCCAAATTAAGATGCTTTTCTTTACAGTAGAAATACACATTCAAAACCTGGTTCAGACAATCTAGACAACAACACAGTCAGCGGGACTCGAGCTTCTCACTCATTGTAGACAGTCATGACTCAGAGACACATTTACACAGGAGAGACTGGATTTATGATATATTTATGTGTAACATGTCACACATTCTGCCTTACAAAGAGAACATAAATCAATCTTAATTTGTAAGTAAAGGAAAGTAATGACCTCTTTGTGTACAGGTATTAATTGGAGCATCTGAATGTCGTCTTTTTATACAGAAAAACACATTGAGCAGCTTTTACAGCCGTGATTTAGTTGTTTGTTTGAAAACACGCCGTTCATCTCAGTGAAATCGTCTCTGACATCCGGCTCACCGAGGATTTACTCGACCGATAAGATGATTATTTCCTCCAAAGCAGCTTTCCCCCCGTGCAGATTTTCACATGATTTAAACGCTCTTCTGCTGTCTTTACAGCCCGAGAATGAACGAATAAATTGGATGTAAATCAGTAATTTTCCAGCGTCCACATGAAGAGCTATACATCGTTAAACATGTTGATTTGTCATCTCTGCAGCATGAGAGGAATCAGGTTATTTATCACTCAGACTTTTTAAGCCTGGAATTCACAATTAGATAATTTATTTACCCTGAACTTGAATTTGAAGTTTTTTTTCCCTCCAGCGGTTTTGTTTTTGGCAGTGTACTCTCTTTGTCAAGGTTACAACTTCTGATAAATTTAAATTTCTTCTTAATGTGTTTCTCCAGTGAATAACTTCAGCAGCTTCTCATGGATAACAGATGAGGCCATTTGATAAATGAAAGCAAACAAATTAATCCATTCATATCACATAAACGGTCTCCATGTTTATAACAGCTTCATTCCTCTGAGAGACACTCCGCCGTCTTCATGACTTCTGAGACTTTCAGGGCTAAAGTGATGTTTCTCTGTTTGTCCACAGCTGCTGCCGTACCTGCAGGCCAACCTGACGGGCTTCATGGATCTGGAAATCCTGAACTTCAGGAAGGGCAGCGTGGTCGTCAACAGCAGGATGAAGTTCGCCAAGACGGTGCCGTACAACGTCACTGAGGCCGTGCACTGCGTCCTGGAGGAGTTCTGCTCCGCCGCCTACAAAAAAATGCACATCCAGATCGACACGGGCTCGCTGGATATTGAACCAGGTACGCTGATGTCTGTAACACTTTCAAGTGGATAAGATAGAATAAGCTCTCGCTGAACTCATACAGTATCTACATGAAGTCTACCTTTTATAAATAGAAATTCTTCTCTGACATGATGATCTTCTGTGACTGGCCATCAGTCCCCTATAACAGTTATTCTTAACCACTGTGACGACGCACACTAGTGTACCGTGGGAAAATATCCAATTTCACTTAATTGGTCCAGAAAAAAAATAATGAAGTTGGTGGAGTATAATGGAGTTGGAGTAATACAACCTTTTGTGAGCAGCTGTGCTTGCACTGTAGAGGCAAAGTCAATCTGATGTATAATACGCACTTTTAACAGCTATTTTTAATAGTTATTTTATAAGTTGACTGCGTCTGCCCTTCACAACTTTCACCGTAAGCTAAAAGATCTAGTAGCAGTGCAAACTCCACACAGGGAAAACAGCTGGTACTAAAAGAGCGACACAGCTGCACAGAAACTGACCGTTGTATTCCAGATTTTAACATAGATGTTGACCACGAGCACACCTGCAAACATTCTGTCTTTAAAGGAAGAATGTGTGACTTTTTGATCCAGTAGATGTCGCCCTTGAGCTCCAGCATGAAACCAAAACAAACTGCTGTTTGGCCACGCCTCCTCCATACTGAAGCCTCCGCTCTCCTCCAGAGACACACCTCCAACCCCTTTCCACTGGCATTCGTGTTGTCCTCTGCTCGAGCTGCAATCACCTGTGTCCTGCATTGTTGTGTTAGCATGCTAATGTTAGCGCTCTTTAGTTAGCTTGTAGCTTCACATTGCATGTACATTTAAACAGAATGAGCTTCCGACACAACAGAAATCATCACACAGGAAGACAGTTAAAACCTTTTTTTCTCTCTGGTAGTCCAAAACCAACTGCTTCTCATATAAAGGTGCAACTTAAATTCAGGATTTAACGGTTATTAAATATTTGAGGCTAAACTGTCATAAAATGGACCACAATAGGCTAATATGTACGGATTGCCGTGTGTGAGTGCGCCCTCAGATGAGTGTGAGAATCAAATCGCACCCAACAAAGCAAAACACTTGTGATTATCACTCTGGTAATAAAGACCCATGTGTGTCTTCTAATTATTTTTGAGTGAAAACAGACTTCTGTGTGTTCAAATGTAGGCTGACATTTTGGCTCCTCTGGGCCTTATATATATTTGAATGCCTTTAGGTTTCACATTCATGTTCCAGCAGCAGCCCATGGATGTATCTTCTGATGTCTTTTTATGTGCGTGATAAAACACGAAGCAGCGTCTCTTAATAAGTCCCATTGTTGTATCAGCCGCGCGCTGCCTCCCCGTGTGCATCTCGTTCTTTGTAGGCTCTGAATCGTAATATTCTCTGCAGATGAGATGCAGACGGGGAGAACAGAGATCATAAACACATTGAAATAGACTCAGTAATTAGGTCTATATGTCAAATCTACCAATACACAGTGGGATTGTATTGAACACTGTAGGGCCTGAATAATAGCGACGGAGATGAGAGGAGACGCTCTGCTGAGGCAGCGCTCGCCTCGCAGGCCGCTCGCTGAGGATCAACTTTTATGTCATGAAGTCGGCCAGCTGTGGTTTAATACGCTCAATACTGTAAAACTTTATTTATATATATATCAGGTTTTATTTAAGGCTCCAATCATTTTATATCTTATCGATGTTTTCTGTGTTTAATATTTATAAGAAATGCATTCCCAAAACACAAAATAATTAATATTTAAAATGAGTTAATATTTAATAAAGTACAGGTTAGTTCAGTTTATTATAGTTTTGACTTTTTAAAGTTTAAACTGCGTGTTGTTGAGACTGACAGGAACGTTATTCAGAGTTTTCCCTTTTAATAATCTCAGACTTCAATTTATGTTTGAGGGAAATTAAATGAAGAATGTTCCACATAAATAAATCATAGATCCAGTCTCTCCTGTAAATATGTCTCTGAGTCATGACTGTCTATCTGTCGTGTTTACATGGACGGGACGGCCGGCTCCTCCCCTTGTGTATAAAAGCTGTTTTAGTCAAGAACTAGAGAGAAGAAGAAGAACATACTCACTGATTATTTGGATGTTAGTAAGAGTTTTTAGATCACGCTCATTCTGTGTCAGTTTACATGAAATGTGAAGCTACGAGCTAACTAAAGAGCGCTAACATTAGCATGCTAACACAACAATGTGAAGCTACGAGCTGACTAAAGAGTGCTAACATTAGCATGCTAACACAACAAGGCAGGACACAGGTGATTGCAGCTCGAGTAGAGGATAAGTATGTCCGCCGCTTGCACTTAACTCCTGTGAACGTGAGTGGAGGGGGGTTGGAGGTGTGTCTCTGGAGGAGAGTGGAGGCTTCAGGATGGAGGAGGCGTGGCCAAACAGCAGTTTGTTTTGGTTTCATGCTGGAGCTCAAGGGCGACATCTACTGGATCAAAAAGTCACACATTTCCCTGGACTTTTTAAAAGACAAGTGAAGTCAAACTTCCTCTGGGTTTGTTGTTTTGAGCTCTGTGTTCACACTGACGGTACAGCGCTTCCTTCAGCTTCTTGATGTTTTAGCAAAGGCTCAAACACGTTTCATAAACATGTGTCCAGCCCTGTTACTAAGTGAAAAAAGCGCTTTGAGTATCCAGAAGACTAGAAAAGCGCTGAACAAGCTCAAGTCCATTTAGAACTTACCAAGAGTGGATGAGACCTGTTGGTAAATCCTTGTAAACAACAACTGAAGGCTCATTTTGTGATGTTTACAGCCATCACAATGGATTAGCATGTTTGTAAAGAACACAACAAATACTTTGAACTTTATCCTTAAAGCTGACTGACTCAAGTCCAAGTTCAATTTGTTTTTGCAAAATCCAAATGTAATGAATAAAACCAGAAAGATGCAAACTGGGTAAACATCAGACCTTGACATTGAGGTTTGACCTTGTAAACAGTTGCACAAGGTCACCGTCAGGAATCTCAAACACTCCTCTCACGTTCCTGTGCTGCAGGTTTCCTAATATATACTCTTCAACATGAACTTTCTCCCTCTGTGCAGCTCACACGCACGCACACACACACACACACACACACACACACACATGTTGATGTATGTTTGATTAACAGTTACACAGATAGATTCTGACCACACGTCAGGCATCACACTGTGAACATTACATCCATGAAACCCCTGATCGTGTTAATTTCCCCGGAGTGAATCTGACGTTTAGTCTCGGAAGCCGTCCACGCCAGAGGCTAAATCTTACATTTCAATGCAGACCAGAACTCTGAAGATCTCATTAAAATCAAACACTCCTCTGCACCTCCTGGCGAGAAGAGGCTGGATAGAGGGGGGAGGCGCAGAAAACGCTCTTCATGAATACTAATGTCGACTCTTTCTCTCGCCCTGGCAGCCGATCAGGCCGATCCCTGCAAGTTCCTGGCCTGCGATGACTTCTCTCGCTGCGTAGTGAGCGGCCGGATGAAAGAGGCGCAGTGTGTGTGTCAGCCCGGCTTCGTGTCCATGGACGGCCGGCCCTGTCGGAGCGTGTGTGTCGTCCAGCCCAACTACTGCAGAGGAGGGGAGTGCCACATAGTTCCTGGACGTGGAGCGGTGTGCAGGTAAATAACCACACACAGATATCGGGGCTTGTTAGGACGTGTAATAACAGCCTCAGAGAAATAACCTTAAAGTGTAGAGAATGTAGCTGCGTTTAAATTAAAACTGTCCTTCAATTGAAGATTTCTGCACAGTGTTGCAGCAGCTCAGCGAAAGTTCAATCGTAGTCTAGATTGAACTTAATGTCTTACTCAGGTTGGAGTTTACGCCCTGCTAATTTAAAGTGTTGAACCAGCGGAGATGGTTACGATATAGGCCAAAGTTACACTTTAAATCATACACCTCAAGGGCGCAGATAGCCTAGTGGTTAGTGTACAGAGGCTCTAGTCCTCCAAGTGGGCGGCCTGTTGCTCCCTTTTCCACACATCATTCCCATTGGACATGAGAGAGACGCTGTTCTTTTCACTGAAAATTATAGTTGTATTAGATTCATTTTTAAACTTCTGTTTTAAAGGTCACATATTCTTTAAAATCCACTTCTCCATGTTCCTCTAACTCTAACATGTGTCTCTAGTCTGTCTTCAAACCCCCAATGATGAGAAAAGTCCATCCTCTCCGTCTTTTGCCTGCTCCACTTTTCAGAAAATGTGTGCTCAAACAGGCTGTTTGGAGATTTTCCCTTCATGACATCACAAAGGGCAGTAGCCCCTCCCCCAGGTGGGTGACACTCCCACAGCTAGGTGTTTGTTCTGCCCTCTGAGTCTGCCTTCTCACCGTAAACAATAGGACATGGAGCGAGAAAGACCGAGTACACCAAGTCCTTCCAGAGAGGGGGCGTGGTCAGACACAGCTCATTTACATATTTAAATGTACAGACCCAGAAACAGCCTGTTCTGAGCAGGGCTGAAATAGAGGGGTTTATAGACATGATCAAATACAGGATCAGAGTGGATTTAGAACAAGAAACTTCACATACATGTTTTGAGGAGCTCTGAGACTTATTTACACTGAAGAAGAGGAGGAGGATATGTGACCTTGAAGGTTGTTGATTGAATTATCCATTGACAACATCATCAAAAAGTAATCCAAATAGGTTGAGAAACTTTTTAATGAAGAAACCTGAAGCTAAAAATACAAAGATTTAAATAAAGGTTTAAATATCGAATTCTCCACGGGCTGGAGACCATTCATCAAAGGCTCATATTGCTCAAAAGCTTGATTTATTACTCTGCTGTGTGTCCTCTGGAGATTCTATTAAATCATGAAACTTTTAACTGAATTAAACGTTATTACAGAGACTGTTTAAAAATCCCAGCTCCTCTGAAGCTGAGATGTGATGGCGATCTGATCGTTTGTCATGTTTCTGTTGCCACAAAGAGTTCAGTCTAAAACTTTCTCTTTGATTGAGGTCTCATGAGAAAACATCTGTTGGGATTTGGTGTTATATTAAATACAAATTCATGAGAAGTGATTGGTTAAAGGTGACATATCCGCCTCCTCTTCTTCAGTGTAAATAAGTCTCAGAGCTCCTCAAAACATGTGTGTGAAGTTTCTTGTTCTAAATCCACTCTGATCCTGTATTTGATCATGTCTATAAACCCCTCTATTTCAGCCCTGCTCAGAACAGGCCGTTTCTGTGTCTGTACCTTTAAATATGTAAATGAGCTGTGTCTGACCACACCCCCTCTCTGGAAGGGTTTGGGTGTACTCAGTGCTTTCTCGCTCCATGTCCTATTGTTTACGGTGAGAAGGCAGACTAAGATGGCAGAACAAACACCTAGCTGTGGGAGTGTCACCCACCTGGGGGAGGGGCTACTGCCCTTTGTGATGTCATGAAGGGAAAATCTCCAAACGGCCTGTTTGAGCACACATTTTCTGAAAAGTGGAGCAGGCTAAAGACGGAGAGTTAAGAAAACGAAACACTCAACTTTTTTCTAAAAAAAATTTAAGCTCAAGATGTTTCAGCCTCATATCACATCAGTTTGTTTTCTCTGTTTTCTGTGTGCTTGTGTGTGTGTTGACTCCGTCCTGCTGCACTCACAAACACGATCATCTCTCTCCGTCACATCTGCAGCTCCCAGCGCTGTAAATCTGTGAATCTGTGAATCGATGCTAAGTTGATTCTTCAAAGATTGAAACAGTCTCTGTTATGAACTCCTCGTTCAGAGACGAAGCCTTTCTGCTGCCAGAAAAAAAAATCTCATCTCAGTCCTGTTAGACTTCAGCAGCCCCGGCTCCTGACACCGAACACCTCGGAGAGTTTTGATATTCAAACTCTCATCCCCTTTCGTCTAAACCTCTGTGCAGATATTTTAAGGTTACATTCTTGTCATCTTTACAAAGACTGGTGAACACAAAGACAGAAGGAATTTCATTTTCTGGATTTCGTTTTTGCCCTCTGGTCAGTGATGAGATGTGAGTGAGACTACAGAAGAGAAACGTCAGCATCCTGACAAACTCTGAGAGCTAATGCTGTCCAACGCCACAGCATGCCATGTTGGAGGCAGGACACAGTTCTACGAAGGTGCAAAAGGATGCATTGCACACTCACAGAAACTCAGAACCTGACCTGTCTGTTCCCCGGGGAACTACGTTATTTCATTATAGCTTGCATCAAATTTAAAACTGCTGCTCAGCGACAAAAACTTCTCCTCCTTACTTTAACTCTCTGATCCAGGTCTACACTCCCTCCCCCCCACTACGCTCTGCCAATGAAAGGCGTCTGATCCAACCTTCACAACAGGGTCCTAAGTCTCTGACTAGACTCTCCTCTGTCGCCCCCCAGTGGTGGAATGAACTTCCAAACTCCATGTGATCTGCAGAGTCCCTCTGCACCTTTAAGAAAAAGCTAAAGACCCAGCTCTTTCATGAATACCTACTAACTTAATGATGATGGTCTCCATATTATTGATGATGATGATGGTAATGACGATGGTTTTTGTTTGATAACGACGACTTATAAGATGGTTTCTATACTGATTAGAGCTCTCAAGAACTGCCCTCAATGTTGTGCTTTGCCTCTGGTCACTTCCTGTCAGCACCTGTGTGTCCAATCAGACTCAAAGCTGATCGTTTGCTCTTACTCACATTGTTCCCTTTTTTCTAGATCCTTGCTTGTGTTGTTCTTACTCTCTGATGTACGTCGCTTTGGATAAAAGCGTCGGCTAAGTGAATTGTAGAATTATTTTTCATTGCTGTTGCCGGTCACTGTTGCTGCTGCACGCCCTCCAATCTCACAATGACCATAAGCCATTTTGTTCCAGGGGCGGGCCTGGTTGGAGGAGGGACCTCTGTGTTTTTAATGAAGTAAAATGAGTAAAAAGAGACGATGTAGTGTCTGCAGATAACGAGAGAGACCTCTTTGCATGATGATGACTTGAAATCACCTGAAGCCATTCGTCAGACGTCAGACATTTAATTTACTGACATTTAGTCGATGCACTGAATGTCTCACTCGTCTGTGTGTGTGTGTGTGTGTGTGTGTGTGTGTGTGTGTGTGTGTGTGTGTGAGCAGCTGGTTCAGTCTCACACTCGACCCTCTGCAGCGTATTTGATCAGCTCTTCGTGCACAAACAGAAGAAAAGCTAAAGTTGGTTTACTCACTGAAATTTAAGGTTCCAGCAGCTTCTCTGTCTGGTCTGGGGGATTGTCGGGGGGGGGTTCTCGGGGGTTGCAGCCGTCTTGGGTTTGCCAGCTGCCCGTCATTAACTCTGAGTCCTGTTTGGGTTTAATCCTGCGTCCAGAGCAGCAGAGACCAGAACAGACCGGAGGGGACAGAAAACTGCAGAAACCCTGCGGGGTTAATACTGCGGCGCTGCATGTTCTCTTTAATCTCACTCTGGCTGTTTGACAACACAAAGAGGCAACTTAATCATTTAGGAGTGAAATAAAAGGCCTGTTAACAAACAGGATACACACACTCCTTTAGGTGTCAGCCCTGCCTGCACCCTCGCTCTCCATCAGCTCCTGGCACTCCAGGTCACGTTCGCTGTCCTGTGGTTACACACTCACCGACTTACCTGCCAAAGCTTTGGAAAGGTTGGATTGTCGCCCGGATGTTTGTGTAACCAACAGATTTACAAGTTAGAGTGAGTAAGCCGCGCTCATGTGTGTGTGTGTGTGTGTGGTTTTAAGCCAACTCTGGACTTACAGAGAATGACTTTAATATAATTTAACAGCTGACGTTATGTCTGTTTGTGGCACTAGGTGAGATAAGCTGGAATCTCTCTTATTATTTGGGACAATCCTGAATCCCGTGCTGCACAGCGCTGCAGTGGTTGGCAGCGAGGAGGTTCCTGGTTTGAATCCCCGTCTGACGGGAGTCTCTCTGTGAGGAAGTTCCTGGTTTGAATCCCTCGTCTGTCAGGAGTCTCTCTGTGAGGAGGTTCCTAGTTTGAATCCCCGTCTGACGGGAGTCTCTCTGTGAGGAGGTTCCTGGTTTGAATCCCCGTCTTCAGGAGTCTCTCTGTGAGGAGTCTGTATGTTCTCCTCGTGCATGTGTGGGTTCTCCGTCTTCCTCCCACAGTCCAAAGACATGCTCGTTAGGTTAACTGCTGACTCTAAAATTGCCCGTAGGTGTGAATGTGAGTGTCTGTCTCTATATGTCTACCCTGTGATTGGCTGGTGATCAGTCCAGGTTGTAACCCCGCCTCTTGCCCAATCACAGTTGGGATCAGCTCCAGCTCACCCCCTCAACCCCAAACATGAAAAGCGGTATAGATACTTGATGGAATCCTGAACCCATCAGCTATCAGTAACAAACTGATGAAGGACTTCTGGCTTCATGTTCCCTGCGCTGTCAGTGTTTACAGTCAGACCAGCAGCTTGAAGAAGTGAGAGCAGATTGTTAGCTTCACTTCCATGCAGACATCTGTGTCAATCGGGGGTTGAAACTGTTGATGAGTCCCGCCTCTCTCTTCTCCAAACGGGCTGATCTGTAGTTGAACTTCTGCTTGTTTCTGACGGTGTTGCAGAGAGACATGTTGGAGTATTTGAGGATGTAAAAACCGATAAAATCTGTCATGTGTTTTCCCCTGAGTATAACGAGCTGAATGCATCTTCTTTTCTTTGGCTTTGTCTCGTTT